AACCTAAACATATGTACACCCATAATTTGCTGAAATTAAAAAAAAAAAAAAAAAAGACTTAAGGGTGCTCCTAACTCTGTGTAGACACAATAAAATACTTTACTGTGGCTAAAGCAGCTGCCCTGTCCTTTTCCACTTAATAAACCTGAAAGGAAAAGAGATCCTAAAAGTTACTACAACCTTTCTATCACCAAGAAGATCCATTGTGCCCTCTCTTTCCTCCTCATGGCTACCTGCTAAGGAATTGATACAACTTCACAGTGAAAAGTGTGCTGTCCTTTTTGGAAAACTTGCCAAGAGCCATCCTCAAATCCACCATGACACCCTTTACAGGTCACTTACATGCAAACAAATAATATAACCAAGTAGGAAATGAAGAACTCTTTATTTTCATATTCTTTAGCAGCAGAACTTTTTTTTTAAAGGTCATGATTTTGAAAGTGAAAGGAAGAGATGGGATTATGAGTGGCAAGATATATTGAATCAAGAGTAATAAACAAGTTTCTAGCCTGGTGTGGTGGCTCATGCATGTAATTCCAGCACTTTGGGAGGGTGAGGCCGGAGGATCACTTGAGGCCAGGTGCTCTAGACCAGCCTGGGCAGCACAGTGAGATCCTGTCTCTACAAAAAATAAAAAAATTAGCTGGGTATGGTACACCTGTAGTCCCAGCTAGTTGGGAGGCTGAGGCAAGAGGATTGCTTGAGCCCAGGAGTTTGAGGTTGCAGTGAGCTATGATCATGCCACTGAACTCCAGCCTGGGTGACAGAGCAAGGTTCTGTCTCAAAAAACAGAAAACAAAAAACAAACAAAGTGCCCGTCAATCCATGAGTGGATTATCAAAATTTGGTATATGTTCACAATGGAATATTACTCAATCATAAGAAATGACAGTGATCTAGCACCTCTTACACTTTCCTGGATTAAACTTAAGCCCATATCCAAAGTGGAGCACCACAAGAGCAGCAGAACGGGACCCATTTGTACTCACCATCAAATTGGTATTAACTAATCAACACATAAATGCACATATCAGAACAACATCTATTGGATGCTAGGGAAGGGGGAGGGCGGTGGGAGGAGGGGGGAAGAGGGAGGAGGGGAGGGGTATTTGTATACACAAGGAGTGCAATGCGCACTACCCGAAGGATGGACATATTTGAAACACGGACTTCGGTGGGGGGGGGGGGAACCAAGGGCAACACACGTAACCTAAACATATGTACACCCATAATTTGCTGAAATAAAAAACAAAACAACAACAAAAAAACAAACAAAAAAACGTTTTCTGGGCTGGGCGTGATGGCTTACATCTGTAATCTGAGCACTTTGGGAGGCTGAGGCAGGAGGATCACTTGAGGCCACGAGTTTAAGACCAGCCTGGGCAACATAGCAAGACCCCATCTCTACAAAAAGTAAAAAAGTTAGCTGGATTTAGTGGTACATGCCTGTAGTCCCAGCTACTCAGGAGGCTGAGGCAGGAGGACAGTTTGAGCTCAGGAGTTAGAGGCTGTAGTGAGTTATAATTGCATTCTTGCACTCTAGCATGGGTGACAGAGCAAGACCCTGTCTCAAAAAAAAAAAAAAAAAATTTCCTGGTCCACAGCTAATGATACTAGAATGAGAAGTGTCAGGCCAGGAGTATATATTCCATGAATAAGGATAAAAACAAGATTGGATGGAGATTGGATGGAGACTTACTAGTTTGGTCAAGGGCACTTGTAAACTGAAATTTGATGAAGAAGGAAAAATGGCTCGATAAAAATTTTGAATTTAGAAAACAAGTTTGAAATAGCAAGAACAAGTATGAAAGCACCTCAAGAAAGTGCTTTCGAGAGTTCCCCAAACGGAACTCTTCCTTTTCCCCACCCAAACCTGACCTTCTCCAGAATTCTGTATCTCCATAAATGGCCCTGCCATCAACCTAGCTGATCTAGCCAGACTCCCTTGGAACCAGCCTCAGTTCTCCCTTTCTGTCACCTTCAACATACAATCTAACATTTGAAAGCCCCTGCTATAGTCACATCTGTTACCTTTTGGTTCCTTGAAAACTCAAGCCCCTTCAATTTGATGATGCTTGAGAAAACAATGTTACACCTGTTACCATGTGGACAAGAACAAAAACACAGGTCCAGTACTTAGTGCAGATGATGTGATATTAAAAGAGAGGAATAAAGCAAAACTACTTTGCTTTTCTTTACAGCAGAAGCAGTAGCCATGAAAAGAAGTTACCAGACAGTGGACTTAACTCACAATGAGGACAATCCTCTCTCAACTGGAGCTATCCAGCAATGCAAAGGGCTTCTTTGTCAGGGAACTTGTGCAAGCAGGGGTGCTGACAATATTCGTGACCATGGAAGACCCCAGGTTCATCTTAAGGCCACGGTTTTAAGATTATCTTCTTTTCAACATATCCATTCAGCTCTTTTTACTTAAACCAATTCCAAAAAGCAATGCCTAGTAACTACCAAAGAAGGGAATAGTATTGGAAGATCTTAATTCTAATCAACCTTGCCACCAACATTGGCTTAGAAGGTGTTATAACACGTTAGCCAGTGGAAGAAAGGACTGACACTACTGGTAAAAATCAGGCAGGGAAGGATGGCTAGCAGCCATGTGCACATCATCCGTGCCTCCTGCTTTAAGATAAAATTATCAGGAATAAAGGTTTCCTGGGGAAAAATCAAGGTGAGGAAGGAGGAATTTTGTGGATAAAGGCAGTAATTCCTGAAAGCAGGCCAGTGTACTTGTATGTCTACACTTGTCCTGCATACTATACCACTGAGATTACTCACAAACAATTGCATGCATGGACCCTTTATGTACAGAGAGCTCCAATACATTACCCGCATGGCTTCTTGAATGTGGTCCTGCCGAATTAGTTCTGCTGAGCAGTCCATATACCACTTCAAACAGCGGATGAGCTCCCTGAAAAACAGAACAGTTCCAAAAACTCCACTTTAATCCAAAAGCAATGTAGCCTAAAATTTTTGTAGCCCTGAATTAGTCAAATAGGAAATAACAATCTGCTGATAAGCTAGCATGGAACGATGGATCCATTACAGCTGTGGAATATTCAGATCATCTGAGACTAGACAACAAAGGCGTTGCTACATTTTAATCAGCAATTACAATCACTTTTCCCCACTCTGCACAACATACATTTGTTCTATGATTACAAGAAAGTTTTCTCAAAGACTTGAACTGAATGTATATTTTTGTTCCACCCGAGTGGGATGGTTTTACTGGGACAAAAGGTCTGCACATTTATATGACAATAGACTACAAAGGTCAAGAGTACAGGCCATGATCACATCTGAGGCCTATCAGTATCTGGCTGTGTATCCTCCAGCAAGTTATTTAATCCTTTTGTTCCTCATTCTCTTCATTTAAAATGTGGAGGAGATAATAGTATGTCGCAAAATTATTGTGACTACTAATAGGATGACATACATAAAGCACATAGCACAGTCAGCTCTCCAGAGTGACATCAAAGTACCAGAGTTCTAGTGACTCCATAGCCTTGCTACCACTGAGTTTTATTTATGTTTTCAATAATTGTGCTAATTCCATAGAAAAAATAGTGGTTTCTTACTGCTTTAGTAGTCCTAGAAAACCTGTTTTTCTCATATTTGCTTACTAGTTATAGTATCTCTTTTATGGACTTTTATTTTCTTTGACATTTATATGTGGATGCTACTTTAGCTATTTACATGTTTCTTGTGGAAAAAAGTAAAACATTTTTAGTAGCTTTACCATTATTTCTTAGAAACAAAATTATGGAAAATTTGTAATAAACTATGGCTTAAAATGTCAGCTGAAAGCCCACAGCTAGGCTAGAGTGCCGTGGCATCAGCCTAGCTCACAGAATGTTCAAACTCCTGGGCTCAAGTGATTCTCCTGCCTCAGCTGCCTGAGTAGCTGGGACTACAGGTGTGTGCCACCACACCTGGCTAATTTTTCTATTTTTAGTAGAAACGGGGTCTCGCTCTTGCTCAGGCTGGTCTCAAACTCCTGAGCTCAAGCGATCCTCCCACCTTGGCATCTCAGAGTGCTAGGATTACAGGAGTGAGCCACCAGGTTTGGCAAAGCTTTTCCTCTAAGATCAGAAACAAGATAAGAATGCTTCCTTTTACCACTTTTGTACAACACAGTACAGGAAGTTGTAGCCAGAGAAATTAGTCAAGAAAAATAAATAAAGGGCATTCAAATTGGAAAAGAAGAGGTAAAATTATGTATTCAGATGACATAATCATATATGTAGAAAACACTAAAGATTCCACAAAAAGCTGTTAGAACTAATAAATAAATTCAGCAAAGTTGTAGAACACAAAATCAACAAAACAAAAAAATAAGTTACATGTTTATACACTAAATATGAACAATATGAAAAGGAAATTAAGAAAACAATTACACTCAGCAGAAATATTACAGGCCAGAAGAGAATGGGATGGCATTTTAAAGTGCTGAAAGAAAAAAAAAACTGTCAGCCAAGAATTTTATATTCTACCAGAATAAGCTTCATAAATGAAGGAGAAATAAAGTCTTTCCCAGACAAGCAAATGCTGAGAGAATTTGTCACCACTAGACTGGCCCTATGGGAAATGATCAAAGATATTTTAAACATGGAAACAAAAGGACAGTATACACCATCATGAAAACACACACACAAAAATAAAACTCACAGCTTTTATAAAACAACAATACAAAGTAGGAAGAGAAAGGAATTAAATGGCAATATGACAGAAGTTAAGCAAATCACAAAGAAAAAAAGAGAAAAACAAAGAATTTATAAAACAACTAGAAATCAACTAACAATATGACAAGAACAAAAGCTTCACATATCAATATTAACTGTGAATGTAAATGGACTAAATTCTGTACTTAAAAGAGGCAGAGCAGCAAAATGGATCTAAAAACATAATCCAATTATATGCCACTTACAAGAAACTCACCTTACCCATAAAGACACATAGACTGAAAGTAAAGGGGTAGAAAAAAGTATTCCACACAAATGGAAACCAAAAGTGAGCAGGAATAGCTATACTTATATCAGATAAAACAGACTTTAAATCAAAACCAGCAAAATAATAATATAATGATAAGGGGATCAATTCAGCAAAATGATATAACGATGCTAAATATATATGCACCCAACATCAGAGCACCCAGATTCACAAAACAATATTACTAGACCTAAAGGGATGGACAGCAACATAATAGTAGAAGACTTCAATATCCCATTCACAGAACTAGACAGACCATCAAGACAAAAAAATCAACAAAGAAACATTGGATTTAAATTGGACTTTAAACTAAATGGACTTAACAGATATTTACAGAACATTCCACCCAACAACTACAGAATATACATTCTTTTCACCAGCACATGGAACATTCTCCCAGATAGACCATGTTATAGGCCACAAAATAAGCCTTAATGAAGTCTAAAAAACTGAAATCATATCAAGTATCTTCTAAGACCACAGTGGAATAAAGGCAGAAATCAAAATAAAGAGGTACTTCAGAAACTATACAAATGTGGAAATTAAACAATATGATCCTGAATGATGACTGGGTCAATGAAGAAATAAAGAAGGAAATTAAAATATTTTTGAAAAAAATGAAAATGAAAAAACAACGTAACAAAACCTCTGGGATACAGTAAAAGCAGTGGTAAGAGGAAAGTTTATGGCATTAAATGCCTGTATCAAAAAAGCAGACAGAGCTACAAGTAGAACTGCCATTTGATCCAGCAATCCCACTACTGGGCATCTACTCAAAAGAATAAAAGACATTCTATAAAAAAGACATCTGGACTAGAATGTTTATAGCAGACCAAGTCACAATTGCAAAGGTGTGGAAACAACCCAAGTGCCCATCAATACATGAGTGGATTAAGAAAATGTGGTATATGTATACCATGGAGTTCTACTCAGCCACAAAAAACAATGGTGATCTAGCACCTCTTGTATTATCCAGGATAGAACTGGAGCCCATTATACTAAGTGAAATATCGCAAGAATGGAAAAGCAAGCACCACAAGTACTCACCATCAAATTGGTATTAACTGATCAACACTTAAGTGCACATATAGTAATAACATTCATCAGGTGTCCAGCAGATGGGAGTGGGGAGAAGGGGATGGGTATGTACACACCTAATGGGTGCAATGCGCACCGTCTGGGGGATGGACATGCTTGAAGCTCTGACTTGGGTGGGGCAAAGGCAATATATGTAACCGAAACATCTGTAACCCCGTAATATGCTGAAATAAAAATAATTTTTAAAAAAGCAGAAAGATTACAGATTAACATCTTAACATTGCACTTTGAGGAATGAGAAAAACTAGAACAAACCAAACCCAGAATTAGCAGAAGAAAAGAAATAACAAAGAGCAGAGCAGAACTAAACGAAACACAAAAGAGACCAAAAACGAACAAAAAACCAAAAAAATGAAGGATCAACAAAACAAAGAGTTGGTTCTTTGAAAAGATAAAGAAAATTGGTAAAGCACTGGCTAGACTAACCAAGAAAAAAAGAGGAAGGATCCAAATAAACACAATCAGAAATGAAAAAGGAGATATTACAGCTGATACCACAGAAATACAAAAGATCACCAGAGGCTATTATGAATACTCATACACCCACAGATTAGAAAGTCTAGAGGAAATGGATGAATTCCTGAAAACATAACCTCCCGAGATAGAACCATGAAGAAGTAGAACTCCTGAATAGACCAGTAACAAGGAGCAAGATTAAATAAGTAATGAAAAATCTCCCAACAAATAAAAGTCCAGGACCAGGTGGATTCACAGCTGAATCCTACTAGTCATACAAAAAAGAGCTGGTGCCAATCTTACCTAAACTGTTCTAAGAGACTGAGAAGGAGGCAATCCTCTTTAACTAATTCTACAAAGCCAGTATGACACTAATACCAAAGCCAGGAAAGGATGCAACAAACAAAACTATAGATCAATATCTCTGTTGTACAAAGATGCAAAAACCATCAACAAAATACTAGCAAATCAAATCCAATAGCACATCAAAAGGATAACTCACCACAATCAAGTGAGTTTCATCTCAGGGATGCAAGGATGGTTCAATATGTGCAAATCAATAAATTTGATTTACCACATAAACAGAATTAAAAACAAAAACCATATGATCATGTTAATAGATGCAGGAAAAGCATTCGATAAAATACAGCATCCCTTTGAGATTAAAAACCCTCAAAAAACTTGGCATAGAAGGAACATACCTCGAAACAATAGAAGCATATATGACAAACCCATAGCCAATATCACAATGAATGGGGAAAAGTTGAAATCATTCCCCCTGAGAACTGGACCAAGACAAGGTTGCCCACTTTCACCACTTCTATTCAACATAGTGCTCCAAGTCCTTGCCAGAGCAATCAGGCAAGAGAAGGAAATAAAGGGCATCCAAATTGGAAAAGAGGATGTCAAATTACCTCTGTTGGCTGACGACATAAACTTACATTTAAAAAAACCTAAGAACGCCTCCAAAGACTCCTAGATTTGATAAATGAATTCAGTAAAGTCTCAGGTTATAAAATTAATGTACAAAAATCAATAGCATTTCTATACACTGACAATGACTAAGATGAGACCCCAGTCAAGAACTCAATCCCATTTACAAGAGCTGCATATAAATACATACACACACACACACACACACACACACACACATATAAATTGTTATATATATCAGAAGAAATTAAGCAAGGAGGTGAAAGATCTCTACAAGGAAAATTACAAAATACTGATGAAAGAAATCATAGATGACATAAGCAAATGGAAAAACATCCCATGCTCATGGATTGGAAGAAACAATATCATTAAAACAACCACACTGCCAGAAGCGATCTACAGATTCAATGCAATTCCTATCAAAATACCAACATCATTATTCACAGAATTAGAAAAAACAATTCTAAAATTCATATGGATCCAAAAAGGAGCCCGAATAGCCAAAATAATCCTAAGTAAAAAGAACAAAACTGGAGGCATCACATTACCTGATGTCAAATTATACTACAAGGCTATAGCAACCAAAACAGTATGGTATTTGCATAAAAGTAGACACATAGATCAAGAGAACAGAATAGAGCACCCAGATATAAAACCATATCCCTACAACCAACTGATCTTCAACAAAGCAGACAAAAACATACACTGGGGAAAGGACACATTATTCAATAAATGGTGCTGGGAAAATCGGATAGCAACATGCAGAACAATGAAACTGCATCCCTATCTCTCACCGTATACAAAAATTAACTCAAGATGGATTAAAGATTTAAATGTAAGACCTGAAACAATAAAAATCCTAGAAGAAAACCTAGCAAAAACTCTTCTGGACTTTGGCCTAGGCAATGAATTTATGACTGAGACCCCATGAGCAAAAGCAATAAAAACAAAAATAGACAAATGGGGCTTAATTAAACTAAAAAGCTTCTGCACAGCCAAAGAAATAATCAAAAGAGTAAATAGACAACCTAAAGAATGGGAGAAATATTTGCAGACTATGTGTCTGACAAAGGACCAATATCCAGAACCTACAAGGAACTCAAACAACCCAGCAAGAAAAAAGCAAACAAAAGTGTATAAATGACATGAACAGACATTTTTCAAAAGAAGATATACAAATGGCCAAGAAACATGAAAAAATGCTCAACATCACTAATCATCAATGTCATGCAAATTAAAACCACAATGAGATACCAACTTACTCCAATTAGAATGATCATTATTAAAAAGTCAAAAAACAATAGATGTTGCTATGGATGTGGTGACAACACAACACTTATACACTGTTAGTGGAAATGTAAATTAGTACAACCTCTATGGAGATTTCTCAAAGAACTGAAAGTAGATCCTGCAATCCTACTACTGGGTATCTACCCAGAAGAAAAGATATGATTATATCAAAAAGATACCTGCACTCATACGTTCATCACAGCACAATTCACAATTGCAAAGATATGGAACCAACTTAAGAGCACATCGACTGATGAGTGGATAAAGAAAACACACACATACACACACACACCCCCCATGGAGTACTACTCAGTGATAACAAAGAATGAAATAATGGCTTTGCTGAAACTTACATGGAACTGGAGGCCATTATCCTAAGTGAAGTAACTTAGGAACAGAAAAATAAATGTCACATGTTCTCACTTATAAGTAGAAGCTAAACTATGGCTACACAAGGGCACACACAGTGGTATAATGGACATTGGAGAGTCACAAGAGGGAGGGTGGGAGAGGGTGAGGGATGAAAAATTACCTATGGGATACAATGTACCCTACTCAGGAGACGGGTACACCAAAAGCCCAGACTCTACAACTATACAATATACACATGTAATGGAATTCAACTTGTGCCTCCTAAATCTATTAAAATAAAAAGAAATGAAAAAAGAAAACAATTACATTTACAATAGCATCAAAAAGAATAAAATACTTAGGAATAAACTTAACTAATGAAGCAAAAGACTTGTATACAATGTTGCTGAAAGAACACACCAATCAATGGAAAGATACTTAATGTTCATGGATTAGAAGACAACATTGTTAAGATGTTAATAATACCAAAAGTGACCTACAGATTCAATATAATCCCTATCAAAATTCCAACAGTATTTTTTGCAGAAATAGAAAAATCCATGCTAAGATTCATACGGAATATCAAGGGATCTGGGATAGCAAATACCATCTTGGAAAACAAGGACCAAGTTGAAGTTTGAAATCAAGTTCCTGATTTCAAAACTTAGTACAAAGCTACAGTAATTCAAATAATAGTGTATTAGCATGACAGACATATTTGATAATTAAATAAAACAGCCCAGAAATAAAGCCTCACAAATATGGTCAAATGATTTTTGACAACAGTGCTGAGACCATTCAATGGGGAAAAGACAATCTTTAATATATGGTACTGGAAAAACTGGATATGCACATGCAAAAAGAAGGAAGTTGGATACTTATCTTACACAATATACAAAAATTAAATGAACCAAAAATCTAACTGTAACAGTTAAAACTATAAAACTCTTAAAAGAAAACATAGAAGAAAAGCTTCATGACATTGGATTTGATAATGATTTCTTGGATATGACACCAAAAGCACAGGAAACAAAAAAATAGATAAGGTGGACTAAATCAGAATTAAAACCTGCATCAAAGGACAGAATCAACATAGTGAAAAGGCAAACCAGGGATGGGAAAAATATTTACAAATCATATAACTGATAAGTGGTTAATCTTCAGAATATATAAAGAACTCCTATAACTCCACAACAACAAAAACAAACAACCTGATTAAAAAATGGGTGAAGGATTTGAATAGACATTTCTCCAAAGAAGATATACAAATGGCCAATAAGCACATGAACATTATTCAGCCTTAAAGGGAAGAAAATTCTGACACATGCTACAACATGGATGAACCTTGCAGACATTATCTAACTGAAACAAGTTATTCACAAAAGGACAAATATTGTATGATTCCACTTACACGAGGTACCTGGAATAGACAGAGAAATTCACAGAAAGTATAATGGTAGTGACAGGGGTTGGGGGAGGGGAGAAGGGAGAATTATTGTTAAGGGTCACAGAGCTTCAATTTTGCAATATGAAAAGAGTTCTGGGGATGGATGTAGTCCTGGTGATGGCTGCACAACAATGTGAATGTACTTAATGCCATTGAACCATACACTCAGAAAATGGTTAAGATGGTAAATTTCATGTTATGAGTATTTTATCACAATTTAAAAAATAAATAGGTTTAAGAAATTAGCTGAACAAACAGTGGTTGCAGATGAATGAACTTTTGAAAAGCCTATCTTTCTTCTCAAACACAAGTCCTAATGATGATATCAAATGCAACTTACTTGTATGCCAGAGCTCCAGCAAAGTGCTTCTGGATATATGTGTCCATCACGGGTCGGAAATGAAAATACTTGATGTCTCGGAGCAGGTTGATGATGAATACCTGGGAGAGACGGAGTGTAGGCCACCAGGGTTCACTGGAAACCTCAGATCTATCCCTGACAGGAAACAGACTCTTGCTTCTTCAAGGAATGGCAAACTGTCAGTGTTTTCTATAGTGATCCCCATGGGTAGTGAATATAAGATTTCCACTGTGTGCCTGTGTTTCTGTCTTTTCTCTTCTTAACACGCTAGCCTTCTAATCCAGACCTGGAGCTCATCAGTCTGTGCCAGTATTACTGTGAGTCTTTCCCTTCACAATAATGCTGGGTGGTACAATATAGACTGCAGAAAGGCAAAACAATACCTGTGTAGATGGCATGAAATATCCCCAAAATCTTGGAGAAGAGAGGAAAAGAACACTGTCTTCTGAGCCAAATCAGCCTATGAAAGGTTGTGCCCTTCAGAAAAAGGGCCAGTGGACAGGGAAGCAAGGAAGAAGAGCCAGAGGCGGAAACTATGCAAGTGCCCATTCCAATTCTCACTTCTGCTCCTTGTCTATCATGTAGACTGGAGTATCTGAATCCCCTTGAATATATGGATATCCTTCTCTCCTGTGGAACTGGATATATTAAACAAAATGCACTAAACATTCAAATCACTGGCCAATTTCATTAACCTTCTAAGATTCTGGTTCTGAAACAACTGCATAGAGGGACAGAGTCTCCAGAGACCTCTGGAACTGCACATGTCTCTAGAGACTAGCATGAGTAAGTATCTACTTTTCCCAGTGGTTATATCCTACTTTGTAAGTGAAAAAATGGGCCATCTGGTTTCCTCTATTAGTCTGCGTTTCTTACTCATGGAGGTCATTATTTTAGGGGCCAGGCAACCATGAAATAGTGAGAAGAGTGAAGATCTAGAACTGCAAAGCTGTGGTCTAGACCTGACCATGTTGATTCTTTCAAATTTGATCTTGGAGGGATCTGCCTGTTAGGTTGGTCTTCCTTGGATGATACTCCTCAGTCCTTCAGGAGTATTACTCCTCACTCCTTCTACTGGAAACATCTACACCTGTGCTGATTCCCTCTAACAAACTGTTTCCCTTACATTTTTTGAAATATGTGACAGGAATAATTAATAAAAAGTCAAGAAGTTGACTTACCAGAGACTGAAAAACCAACAGGCCATATTTCTCTGTATTATCATCCAGAATCACAAAGAGTGTATCCAAGATGTCCTGAAGAAACTGAAACAAAGTGGAAAAAGCAGAGGGCTCAGGTCTCAGGACCTTGCACACATGGTCAAACTTCCATCCACCAATGAACTTAGCTCACAATAAACAAAGTGAAAGATTTCCTGGGATCTTAAAACACCACTTCAAAATCATCTAGTACCTTGCCTCCACCTACCTAAGTGATAGCTAGGTGGACTTGAGGTGTTTGCTTATAGCCCAAAGGGCCCTGACAGAAACCTAGAGAGGATCTTCTTGTTGGCTAAGTGCTAAGCCTTTTCCTTAGAAAGAAATTGCAATTGCCTGAAAAACAAAGGACATTCATGCAGAATAGAAATT